TATCTGTTTTAATATCTTGTTCATATCCCAATTTTAATTTTTAATTTATAATTTTATGTATGTTAAAAAAGAAATTTCCAAAAATGAATATTCTTTTTTTCTTTCAATTTCGTAAAAACAAATATATATTCCGAAAATTTTGTAAAAAAAAATTATTTTTATTCAATTTGAAGGTTAAAATTGGGATATAAAAATAGCAAAGGTTATTGGGACAAGAAATCATCGGTAGAAGATTAATTTACAAAACACTAATTCAAACTGAGTCAATTTAGCAAATTTCCCATTTAAATTTAAGTAAAGTTTTTAGATTAATTTTTTTTTTGGGCAATTACAAAAATACTACTTTTTGTGTGCACATTTGCAAGAATACCATTTAGGGGTGTCCATTTGCAAAAATGCTACTAATTATATATTTATAAAACCTATATCTTAAAATTCTAAACCCTAAAAAATGTTTTGACACCTAAAACCCCCTAAACACTCAAAACTAAACCCTAATAGAACATAATTAACCCAAATATAAATAATATATGAAAAAATAATTTTGAAAAAGTGACATTTTTGTAAAGATTTCAAAAGTGTGGCATTTTTGTAAAGTGGCACTTGAAAAGTGGCATTTTTTTGAAATTTCTTTTTGTATTAGTTTTAGTGGGCTAAATAAGTGGGATAAATGTTATTGAGTGGACTAATTTAATTAGTTTTGAGTGGGATAGATTAGTGAGACAAATATTTGATAGTTTTGCCATGTCATATTTTAGAGAATGTCATATCATTATAAAATGGGTGAAAATGTTTTTACTGATGATACATAAGCAAATTTGAGAAAATTACTTCTCAAATAATGTATAAGGGATCACAAATATAGTTGATAACTAATTAAATTGGTTATTAGAAATTGTTTAACTTAAGTAAGAGTTTCAAACCTAACTAAGCATGTTAAACCAGTCGTTGAGAAATGAGATGTCAAGAGGATAAGTGGCGAAGAAAGCGGAAATGGAAGACAAATGGAATCCATCATATGGCAAATGGCGTCTATGCGATTTTCACTTGTACACATTCATTTATCTTTAGTTTGATGAACAACTGTGATTAGTTCTACTTTGATAGACGGTTAAGCTCTAATCCTAGTGAGAAATAGATCATCTTTCCACCTATACATATCAAACTCCATCATAAAAACATGCTAATAAAAACACATAAGAGAAAATTTT